ACCGGGACCAGAGGGTTCTGGGTTGGAGTCCCGGGGGAACCAGGACCTTTCTGGGTGGAGTCTGCATGTTCTCCTGTGTCTGTGGGTTCTCTCCGGGTTCTCCGGCTTCCTCCCACCCTCCAAAAACCTGCATGTTAGGTTGTTGGACTCCAAACTGCCCTTAGTGTGAGTGTGTGTGGTTGTTGGTCCTTGTGTGTCTCTGTGTGTCCCTGTGATGGACTGGGGACCGTCCGGGGTGACCCCGCCTCTCCCCATTGGCTACTACTATTACTATAATGGATGGATGGATGGATGTAAATAGACTTGAGCCCCAGACGAATTGCCCAATCGAAGCCCATTACATGAATAGAAACGTAAGTAAGGACTTTAAAACTATGATGGACGATGACATCGTCAGCCAAAGGCTTTAGAGATCATGAGGGCTCTGAGAAAAAAGCAGCACTCCTTCCAAGGAATTCACCAGGAAATGCGACCGCATAAACAAACGGAGGGAGAGCCGTCCCATTCACATTCTCCTGCCTTCACACAGTAATCTCTGAGTACACTCGGCTGACTGGAAAAGCAGATCTCGCGCAAGAACGCGGAAGATCTCGTGCTTATTCTCGACTTCCCTGAGAGAACAAAAGGCTTTGGTTGTGTGTCAGCTCTGGCGTGCGGCGCGTCAGTCTCTGCTGAACCAGGAACTTCATGTGAAACAGTTTGGCATGAGCCCACAACAACTGTGCAACACCTGTGCTAAGGCCTCTGCAAACCTGTAGTATCGGCCTGGACTCTGAGCATGTCCCAACCTGTGTGCAGCATCTGGGCATTTCTGAGGGTTCTCCTCTACAACAGGACACATTTGTCAGCAGTTTTACAACAATTATATATACTGAACTATAATTTACACCTCAGAAACTAAGAATCAAAATAAGAAAATACTTTTGCTGCGGACTGGTGTCTAAAGCCGGTTTTTGAGGGACGCTATCCCGCAGGTTTTAGATGTTTCCTGCTCCAGCACACCTGACTCACACTTCATCAGAATCAGATATGCTGAAGCAGGAAAAACCTGCAGGACAGTTGGACACCCCCCACTTAGAGGCTAATTTAGACAAAGTAATGGTGAAAAATACAAGAGTTACAAACATATAATGACTACTTTTATCCCATGTATTTTTCTGGTTGCCCTTTAAACATCCATCCATTATGGTAACCTCTTTTCCCCTAATGGGGTCGGGGGGGACTGGAGTCTATCCCAGTAGCCAATGGGGAGAGGCGGGGTCCCCCTGGACGGTCCCCAGTCCATCACAGGGACACACAGAGACACACAAGGACCAACAACCACACACACTCACACTAAGGGCAGTTTGGAGTCCAACAACCTAACATGCAGGTTTTTGGAGGGTGGGAGGAAGCCGGAGAACCCGGAGAGAACCCACAGACACAGGAGAACATGCAGA